AAGCCCCCCCTCCTTGGACCCTGGAAAAATAAATTTAAACGTACATTTCGTCCTTAAAACACGCAATGTCTTAAACACACATCAATGTAGATTTTATTAAACTTAATAAGCGATAGCAGGAGTAGTATTAAGTTCCACATAGATCAACTTTGTGGACAATAGCACAGCAAATAAAACAATATTACGTAATTGAAAGTTAGTTAGTTGGACACAATTATATACATTAATATGGCTTTAGAAAGTCAGTAAACAGCTTTTAGGACAATATTGCCGTAGCCTACAATATGTTTTGAGATTTTATGAATGCAATCGTCATAGTTAGTATTAAAATGTCTACTTATTCATGACAAATAAAAATGGGGAAATGGGAGGCTTTGCACACAGTTCTAGACGTTGAAACTGGCTGTAGAAAGTCACCCAAGGGCTCAATTTACACTAGTCTTTAGATATACGGGTTTAATTATCAGAACACTTATGTAACACCAACGCATTGCCAGTAATGTTGGAATTCACTTCAATATTAGGTTGAATTCTATTTAAGTTGGTAAAAGCTTTAAAAACGTTAAAACAGAGGGCTATTACTTTCAACACTTTTATTTACAATTGAACTCACAACAATAAGCATTTAAATCATAATTAAATCTTAGCAATGAAATATAAAGTACAAAGAATAAAATATATTCATCTGCCCGAATTTTAAGTCAACTATAAATTGGTGCTAAGTAGGCCACCAGATGCAATCACATTTTATACATAAGTTTCTATATAATTATATACTAGGATACTAGCTAAATTATTTAACTAAGTCTTTTAACATTGTATTAATAATTTTAACAGCTGTAAATAAAACGTGTTTGTTGTCTTTTTCATGTTTACAAAAAGAGCAGCATTGTTTATGTGTAGTGAAGAAATCTAGTTTAAGAACATTGAGAACATTTCTTAGGACCATTTGGTAAGATACCATGGCTATGTTTTAATTGCATTAAACTTTCTTTCTAATCCATCTATCAATCTAATCTATCATCAGTATGCCTTCTAAAGAAAGACTGGCAAGAAAAAGAAAACAAGAATGGTATTTAGATAACGCCCCTGCTATAAAAAAAAGAAAAACAGAAGAAGCTAGCATACAATCCACTAATAAGAGTTCTACCTTTTAAAGCTTGGTACCTTGATCATGCTAAATGAGGAAAATCCAAAGCGAGAAAACGTTATCTAGCTAATATTGAAACTGAGAGGTTAAGAAAACGTGTGCAGTACAGTGCTAATCCTGAACCTCGCAGAGCTAGGTTGCGGCAACAATATTCTGCTAATCCTGAGCCACACAAGGCTAGAATGCGTCAGAAATACTCTACTGATCCAGAATATTATAAAGCTAAAAAACGTTTAAACTACGGTGCAAAACAAGAAATGAAACAATCTAATCGCAGGAGATGTTACAAAGTACTTCGTGCTAAATACCCTGGCCACTTTCGCTTGCGATATAAACTTAAGGTTTTTCACGAAAGGGTGCAAAAGTGTGCAGCCTATCAAAGCCGACGCTTTTTAAATAGATCTGATGGGAAAAGAAAATCAGTAAAAAATGCAAAAAGGAAAACCAAAAACAGTGTTGCAGCTTCACATATTTTCTTGGGGAAAATAAATTGTGAGAAAATAGCCAGACTTATAGCAAAGAAAATACCTGAACAAGGTTATACTAAAAGGTTGCTAAGGGCTAAAGAGCTCTTGAAATGGGTGTTGCATGCTTATAAAAATTACAAAAACAATTTCCTTAAGCTATTTGTTAGCCTGCAAAATCGTGCTAAAGAGTCTCTTGCTAAGCTATCTGCAACAAGCACGTTTGAGGACAATGTTGATGCGTTGTGTGGGCACAGTCTTCATGTTTCCACGTCGGAGCCTTATTTCTGGGAGTTTACCTATAGAGTGTTTCCTGGTAAACAAATAACTGTTGGTAACGAGCCCAGCACAGCTCATAGTTCACCAAAGAAAAAGTGGAAATGCAACTCAGATATATGCTTAATTGAGCCTGACCACTTAGAGCAACTTAAATCTCTTTACAATGAAATAGTTTCAAGCTCTCTCACTAAAGGTTCTAAGCTTATTGTCAGCATGGGAGAGCACTCATGTCAAAGTGGTGTATCATCTCGTGTAGGTGTTCATCCTCACTCTTTGGACTGTTACTCAGGAGCATGTGTTTCGAAACTTCCTTTTCTGAGAACAATCTATCCTCACTTTCCTGCAATTCGTAGTCTTGTCTCCAAAATTTACCGACTGTTGAAAATAGCTAAGAAGATTATGCTAATTAAAAATGGCATTCTTAACGTGCAGACGAACGTGTTGTTTTCGATAGAAAGGGAATTTAAAGAGCAAACAAAAGCCTTTCTTACAGATGACACAAGTGAAAGCAAGGTCCCTGAATCTGAGTCTCAGTTGTTTGCAAAATATCACAAAGCATTTGAGGCATTGGAGAAGCGTTCTTCTGAAACGCCAGTGTTTCCCTGTGTCTCATGCGATAAGTTGTTCAGTAAACAGCAAGTAAGCCTGTTGAAAAACCTAAAAAATCAAATTGTAGGACACATATGGCAAAGAATAAAAGACATAAAGAAAGAAGAGTGCAAAACGGGATGGATTTGTCGAGGCTGCCTTGAAAAACTAAGGAAAGGTCAGATGCCTCCTACTTGCATTCTTAACGATCTCTATGTTTGTGCGCAGCCGAAAGAGCTAACTTGCCTTAACAGTTATGAAAAAGTCTTAATTCAGAGAGCCAAAGCATTTCAGGTTGTTACAAAAATGAACACAGTTGGAAAAAGAACAAGTCGAGCTCAGCAACAAATTTCCAAAGTCGTGGGAAGAAGTTTTCATTTGCCACTACCCCTTCAAGAAACCCTGCAAAAATTGCCCAAACCAAGTGACCCTCTGAATCCAAACCACGAGCTGTAAGTTTTGGTCAGAGGGGTACCAACCAAAGCAAAGAATGTTTGGCAAATGTTGGTTAGTGTGGATAAGGTACACGCAGCCTTAAGTTTCTTAAAGAAAAACAACGCTCATTATGGTAGCATCGTACTACCTACAGATCCAGAAGGACTCTTCAACCTTAATGATGACACAAATTTGTTTCAATCTACCCATCAAAACGAACTGCCACCTCAGGAAATACTACATAGACGTGCTATATTAACTCAGGTAACTCACGAGGAATGGGATTCAGAAGAGTCTCACTATACAATCCACGCTCTTCATGAATCAAAATCTTATAGTGATGACACCGAGCTCTATAAGATGCTGAAAGTGAATGAACCTCCGATTAGTCATGAAAACAAAGAGATTGACGTGCTTTGTTTCCCTGATTTGTATCCCGAAGGTAAATTTGGCCAGTTTCATTCCAGAGAAACTAAACTCTCTTCTGCTGAATTTATCAAATGTCGGTTGCTTTCAAAGCATTCTCAGTTCAGACTGAATCAGCAGTACCTTTTTTATTTGCTGCACGATGCAAACCTTCGGCAGTTAAGACAAGGAGTATTCCACAAGCTCAACATCACTGGATTCAGTGGCTCTCTTAGTGCTAGAGACTGTTTGAACAACCTTGCATCGGGAGAATTATAGGGGAACCTGACATCAGTATTCTCCAAACTCAGGAACACTAGCCAGTACTGGATACAGCCTAGAAATAATGTCAATTGCATGGCTCAGCATTATGGACCAGCTACATGGTTTTTAACCATAAGCCCAAGCGATTGGAACTGGGATGACATGGCATTGTTCATTAGGGAAGTTAACCGGAGTGTTCCAGGCGCAGAAAAAAAAACAAACTAGTTAACTTGTGGCTATGGGTCCTATCAGTGCGTCACGGTTTATCCATATAAAGTTCAAGGCAATGTTGGATTTTATTGTCTCTGATGCTGCTCCTTTAGGAAAAGTAAGTCACTACTTCTACAGGCGAGAATACCAAAGCAGAGGTCTCCAACATTTCCATCTTCTTCTGTGGGTAGAAAATGCTCCTGTAATGGGGACGTCCAGCAACGCAGAAGTAGCCGACTTTATCCTTAAGTACATTACTTGCAAGGTTCCAAATGCATCCGTTTCACCTACTCTCAACAACAGAGTTACAAGTTACCAAATGCATCACCACAACTCGTACTGTATGCGGACAAAGAAAACCAAAACCGGGTTTCGTAAGGCTTGTCGTTTCGGGTTCCCCCGGCCAATCACAGGGAATCTTGTTCTGCGTGACGTTGTCGAGTCTGTAGCTGGCAGAAAAGCTCTCAAGTCTAAGTCACGTCTTTATGACCTACCCAGAACACCAAGCGAGAGCTTTGTCAATGACTACAACCCGGCCGTGTTGCTAGCTTGGAATGGAAACGTGGACATCCAGTATGTAGGCGAAAGCACTTCTATCCTACATTGGTATGTCACAAAGTACACTACCAAAAGTGAACAAAGTCATGCTGGCCAAGTTTTTACAGAGATTAATTCTACAAAATCATTAGCTAGTAGACTGTTTAACGTTGGCCTTAGAGCTTTAAACAACCGTGAGTGTGGTTCTTTAGAAGCTAGTGACAAACTGTTGGGCATTCCATTGTACGGCACGGACCCGGAGACAACAATAAGATGGTTGGATGTAGGCATGACCAGACGCAAAAGACTACAAAAAATCGACAAGATACGAAGTATGGACCCAAGTTCAACGAACATATTCTACGAGTCGTGGGTTGATGACCACTACCCAACTAGACCAGACGAACTAGAAGATATGAACTTACACGACTTTGTGAGATGGTACGATATAGCTGCTCAACCACCTAAAGGCGACCGTGAAGTGCATAAGTTGAATTCAGGCAAATTCCTCACTAAAAGAGTCAGACCATGCTTACTGAATCACTATAAATAAGTACAGCCCCACTCAGGATCCTGAAAAATACTACCATGCATTACTTCTTATGTTTCTTTGTTGGAGATCTACTGATGAGCTGAAAGAGTCTCATGAAACATACACAGATGCTTTTATGGCCAAGCGGACACTTCTCACTCAAACCTTCAACTATGACAAACGTTTAAAAGACATTATTGCGGCATCGGAGAATGCAAGAGACAAAATTCAAAACCGAGTTGAAGAGATCAATGCAGAAGAAGGAGAGGTTGCTGATCCATCCAATATAGCCTTTCAGCCCTTTAATGAACCTGTCCCCGCATCCCAGCCTGTCAGGGACAGCAATTGGTCGCCGAATGACGAGCCGTTTGAGAAAAAATACCAAAAACTCAATGACGACCAAAAGAGAGTGTTTGATTATGTCAAACGAGTTGTTGCAAACTCTGATGGGACAGATAAATTTCTGAGACATTTTGTAAGTGGTGTGGGAGGTACTGGTAAGAGTTTTCTCATAAAAACTATCAGCTCTTGGACTAAAAAATGTCTTCAAGCCTCTACATCAATATCAGCTCCCACAGGACTAAGTGCTTACAACATCAATGGTTCTACGATCTACAAAGTGTTTCAGCTGCCAGTTGAGCATGGAAAAACTCCAAAGTACAAAGCTCTTACTGATGATGTTTTAAAAATGTTGAGATCCAACCTGAAAGATGTGGTGCTCTTCATAATAGACGAAGTGTCCATGGTCTCCAATCTAACATTGATGTACATAAATCTCAGATTGTGTGAAATATTCAACACCTCAGACCAAAGTAACGGCTGGTTTGGTAAAAAACATATACTGCTCTTTGGAGACCTTTTACAACTTCCACCAGTACACGAAGACTCCCCATTCATTGAACTTGACAGTAGCAAACTTAGTTCTTTTGTTGGCTCTCTGTCTTGTGTTAACATCTGGTCTGAACAGTTCTCTTATGATGAACTTACTACAAACATGCGACAAGCTCAAGATTCTAAGTTTGCTGATGTGTTAAGCAAAGTCAGAGTAGGCAATATGACCGTTGAGGACATCCGTCTAATTGAAAGCAAGAAAATACATCTTAATGGAAAAACTGCTTGTGAAAACCTTTCTCTATTAGGAGATTACTTGTCTGCTTTACCCAACAATTCTGTGTGTCTTTGTTCAACTGGTTACCAATGCTCCATAATAAATGATGAAATGGTCAATAGAATAAGTGGTCCTGTCGTTAACTTGGTTGCAAAAGACTCAGTTGACTGTCTACCTCGACAACAAAACAAAGTTAAAAAGATACTGTCCTCTTACAACTCTGACTGCAGCAGAACGGCTGGTATGGAGAAAATTATTCCTATTAAGGTTGGTGCTAAAGTTATGTTGCTTAGAAACATTGACGTCACTGTGGGGCTAGTTAACTCCGCCATTGGAACAGTAACGGGGTTGAGGTTTAATACAGACAATTCTGATGACGTAGACTCAGTGACAATTAACTTTGATTGTGGCATTACCCATCGCCTACAGCGAGTAAACGTCAAGTTTCAAGTTATGGATAACGCATTTGTGTATCGAGAGCAATTCCCGATATCGATGTCCTACGCGGTTACAATTCACAAATGCCAGGGCCTCAGCTTAAATAGCGTAATAATTGATATTGGGGAGTCCATATTTACATGTGGCCAATCATATGTTGCCTTGTCACGAGTGACTTTATTAGAAGGGCTTCATCTTATTAACTTTAACCCAAGAGATGTGAAGCCTCAGAAATCCGCCATTCTCGAATACAACAGACTAAGGCAGAAGTACAGGTCTGACCTTCCACTTTACAACACAAGTTGTGACTCCTCTTCGGCTCCTTATGTGAGAGACAGGAAGTGGTGCCAGACCAAAAATGTCGAAAAAGTGCAGGATGAGAGTACAAAACCGGTACCCTCTGCAAAGACTACCGGAAGATAGAGAGTTCAGTCAACTTTAGCATTAAAATGTATTTTTTTTCAGAGAAAAGAGTATTTTTATTTGAACGGTTAATTTTCTACAAAAATAAATAAAATCTAACAAAAAACCACTAAGTGGTAACACTTTCCCCGCCAAGTCAGCAATCCAAAAAAGATAATAAATCATTACTTTTTCCGCCAAGAAAAACAATGTAATGTATGTAAGTTTGGCAACTTGGCGGCAGACTTTTGCTTGGTTTTTTTTTTCATTTAAGTTACGTTCGTGGATAATTTCACAAATCAACTTCTCTAATTAATTAGTCCAACTAAGTATAATAATTTCGAGGTAATCAGTAAATATAAAACCATCACTATTATGATTTTATGAAATGTGGCACAAATAAGGTCAAGTTTTGTAAAATAAGCTCTCACCTAGCAATGTACTAATGGGAGAGATACTTGCTCAATGAAACTAGTTTTATGGTATTTTTAAAGTGATCGAGCAAAAGTCTGCCGCCAAGTTGCCAAACTTACATACATTGCATTGTTTTTCTTGGCGGAAAAAGTAATGATTTATTATCTTTTTTGGATTGCTGACTTGGCGGGGAAAGTGTTACCACTTAGTGGTTTTTTGTTAGATTACATTTTATGTACTGTAGTCAAAATCAATTTTAAAATGTAATAGCATAAAATGCAATTAAATTATTTGTAATAACATTTTAAAATGTAGTCCATGTGTGGAACATTTTTAGGTATAAAGCGAAACAGTGCTTTCAACATTACAATGTTGTTGAAGTTATTTGGCCTATTTATTTGTAAATTTGGACAGTTAATTAATTTAACCTAGGTACATGAAGTTATAACTTGTCTAAAACAAGTTGACAGGACTTTGACTCAAACCGCAATTCACTTTACTTAAAAACTTAGAATTAATGTATTTTGTAACCGAGTTTACTAAATAAAATGGATTATACAAATATTTTAACAAATCTTTAAAAACCTCTAAAAAGTCTGACTGGACATTAATTGTAAAGCGTTTAAACATGTAATATTCTTAAGTTACAAAACGTTAGTATGTTAACAAAGTACTAAATTTTAAATGTTCATTCTGTATAGTTAAAATTTAAACTGAAGCTTTATTTCCACTGTAGATATTAAAAATAGATTTTATGGCATTACAATTGATTTAAAACAAGTACCAGGCCATTACACAATCGGACTCCATTCCAAGAATTGTAAATTTATGGGTTTCCGATATTGCGCGTGAAAATCAGATCCACCAATCCCAGACTGTTTCACTGGTTCTGTTTTGTGAAAAATAGTTAAAATTGTTTGAGTATCAATACACAATTTCAATTATTTTTCAAGATCCAACATCGTGCAATCGACGTATTAATTCTGTATGCAGGCAGAAAAATCACATAGTTAAAAAAAATACAATAAAACGTCAAACCTTACCTTAACCAGACAATTGCCATAATTTTGCTTCAGCAGTTTAATATTAGGAAACAAGGAATGTGTGACGGACGAGATCCAATAGCATGTGATGAATGTATCACAGATGTGTTTGGACAATAAACGTCAGAGTTGTGATGCATCACAATGAGGACATCAGACCTTTCAATAGCTATGTCAACACAATGATTGTTCCAAAGTTGTGCAATGGCTAAATTTCAGGAATGAGACAGATTCAATAGTAATGAATGCATCCCATTCGAACCTATAAATAAAATTCTTGGCGTTGTGATGTGTTGGAGTGTAGATGTCTAAGCTCTTAAGTGTGATATTTGAACTAAATCAAAATAGCAACGGCTGATTCCTATACTTGATTCTTTAGTAACAGCACAATAAAATCTGTAACTGTCGCTAAACATTGCACACATCAATCAGGACAGTTCAACGCGTTAGAATCTGATAATAAGTTAAAATGATTTTATTATTTTGGAATTATTATTTCCATATGACAGTTAGGGATCATGTTTATTGTTTTTAGCTACAACCCTTGACTAAGTTTTAAACTCTCTAACCTGACTTAGAAATACATTGAACATTACAACATTGAACACTAACATTACCAACATTGAAAGTGTTACATGAAAAAATATGTTTTAAATGTAAAAGTAATATGGTCTTTCATTGTTAATGTCACAATAATAATTTCAACTTTTGTGAATTAATTAAGTCAAGTCACCTATGTATTTTAAGTAATATTTTACGTTAAAACTGACTTACAATCGAGGTTGTTCTTACAGACACTAAAATACCTTCTACCTAATGCTGATCCTTAATTGTACCTTGTAATCCTAAAACAATTTTGACAACATAGGAACTATTTGGAATAATTATCATCAATACAAAAAATACACCATTTACAACAAAGAAAGATGAATAATATACAACAAGTAAGTTGTTATCATTATGACACTATTATTTTTACCTTGTGGCACACTAACTGGACAATTTAGGACACTTACAGTATAGTTTTCAATTTGATAAGGTGATATTAGTACATTCCATTTTTTTTACATAACCTAAATGGTTCGCTGCAAATATTAACAAAATAGTTATATTTAGCCTTAGTCTTGTTTTTAAATCTAAAACTGAAGGACATTTCCGGTTTGGTTCCAAGTGAAATCGTAGCCATAGATGCCATTTGTCATTGGACTATGCAATCCAACAAAATGTCGACTTAAGATAGTAACAAAACCTGGGTTTGAGCTCCCTTACAACAAATTCTGAAAAGTGCTACTGGTGGGGATGCACAAAAAAAAATAATATCAAAATAAATGCCAATTCTAATGAAACTAGCTATTGTTTATTCAACAAACATCACCACCTTTCGCGGTCTGTGTAATTTGCAGCTTATTGAAACGTTCAACGGACGATGTATCATAACCAAACTGTCATCATTTATCACACAGAAAGACAGTTATTATGACCACAGAATTGGACATGCTATTATGTATGAGAACAGTTTTAAATAAGGAAAACGTCAACGGTTTTGTTGCAAAAACCTTTTGACAGCATTGCTATTGCATATGAAATGTATTTTTAAAGAACGTATCCATTAACCCACTTCTGTTCAGCCAAAGAATAATGAAGATTAAACACTCTTACTATCGATAGACAATATGTTTGTGATTGATTTTTTGTCATGGTGGGTTTATTGTGAACATTTATCATTAAGATTAGTAAAAAGACAAGTTTTCACTTACGGAAATGAGATTAAATGAAAAATTTCTTTATTTGAGAGGGGACGTTAGGACTATCAAGTCCTCTCCACCACTTAGCCTCTAAAATATGAATAATAAATTATTAATTAACTTTATTAAAGGATCAATAACCAATTAGTTGGATGCTTAAATCCAAAGTAACAACGGATTTAAAATAATTAAAATGTTTAAGTATTGTGATTAGCCTCAGTCTACGTTTTTCTGGCACTTAAAAATTGATTTTGTATTTTAGAAAGTGTAACGTTTGTAAAATACTTGTTGCATGTTTATTTTGGTTTCAAAACAAAAACAAGAAAATTACAAACATAATTAAATCCAAAAATTATATAAATTAATATGGGAATACTTTCAAGTATTGACTGTGTTCCCAGGAGAAAAGATGGGGAGTGGCATTATTTTGAGAATATTGGACGTCCAAAACTGTTATTGGTGTTTGCCGAATGCTTCCCTAAACCCCGTTACAATAATATGAACCCTTCCCTGCTCTACTGCATCCCAATGGACCAAAACGCACCTTTGAGATGGATTTTATGTTTCGAAAGTCCTCGTAGTAAAATGTACACACATAATATATTATAGTATCAACAGATTGATATGGAGAAAATTATTGTATGTTAGTTAAGTTTGGAAAAGTAATCTTTTTTTTGTTACAACTATTGTGGTTACAAACGTCATTGAAAACGTTTAATGTGTTTAATGTGCATTGAGAAACGACGTTTTATTTTCTATGGAAAGGCTATTTAACTAAACAAGTATTTTATGAGATAATACTGGTTTAAAAGAACTTATAGGATACTTATTTAATATGTGCTCAAAAGAAAGTCTTTTGCAACGCCTGAAATGTTTATGAAATGCAATGAAATTAAATTAAATGAAATGCAGTTAAATTAAATTAAATGAAATGCAATGAAATTAAATAAAATGAAATGCAATGAAATTAAATGAAATGTAAGCTGGTCTAGTTGTTGATAGTGATACTTTGGAACCTGAGGTCTTGGGTTCGAATCCCACCAAACACCATGGGTTGTTTATCCATGTTATAATGCTTCGATCTCTTCTTGGCCTAGACTTAAGCAATGTGGACACAAATTCTGGGCTAGAGGAATAAAAATAAATTAAACAATGCCTTTAAATGTTCAAATATTTCATTTTTTGAACTTATATATTTAATATTATTGGACAGACACATTTTGTACATCTTTAAAATAAATTATAGTAAAACTGTTATAGAACTTAATCTAAAAAAAAATACGCTAAAACATAACAAAATCAGAAGCGTTAGTGAAATTCAGGTATGAATATTTCAGTTATAAATTGTTAAATTCGAGTAATTGAGATACTATTTCAAATAAACTCTGTGACACTGTAAATACAGTTAACATTATTATTCTTATATATTAATTAAATTGGATAGCTGAGGATTAAAGGGCAATCCAAGTAAAGCTAGAATCCCTTTAACTTGGTTTGTTAACAACCTCCGGCTATGAAACTAACCAGGTAACCAGAGTAATAATGTTATGTTCCTACCCTGGTGCATGGGGTATTAATAGGGAGGTATTGAGAAATGTAATACCTTAAACACCAAAACCCAAATTACGTTATATTTTAAACCTTATATTTTATTTAATACTATTTCAATTAATTTGGACCGTAGAATATTTTCATTCGGTGTTAATATTTTTTTATCCTGGAGTAACAATTTAATTGTTTGATGGTCTGAAACATAAATTAAGTTTGTCGCGAAACATAATATTTAGTTTTAAATTATTACTTTTAATAAAAATGATTT